AAAAAAAAGGAATCTATTATTAGGAATAGTGAGGGCAAAGTAAAAGAAAAGAAAAAACTAATGGAAAAGACTGGAATGGAGAGGCGATAGAAATTCTTCATAGAAATGTTGCAAGGAAAATTACAGTAAAAATTTCACAGTGAAGTAGGACCTCTAAATTGACCCGTGTTCGTATATAAAGGTAAAGGTAATGACAAAAGTAGACAGCATAGTTAACTATTGAGAGATGCGCCATGCCTATTACCTGCAGTCAATATACAAATGCATTTGAATGCGTATCTGGATGATACATACCGTGTCTTAGGAGAGCCACGGGATGGCCGGCAGATTTCAGAAATGAGAAAGCAGTTCAGAAGGGCTTACGAAGAAATAGAACCTCTGCTGGACAAATTTCAGTTCGACAAAAAATGAAAGAAGAAACTAAAAATCGTGCACCGGTCAAAATCGCGAAGATACCTGAATCGATAAGTACTAAATTCAAATTGAATAGAGTCTAAAAAAGCTCGATGGTCCACAGAAGCAGCAACGTCAGCTAGCTAGACCGGAGAAAAAAAAGCCGGCTGAAATAACTCAAACAACCAGGCCAATCTTGACAAATGGACCTATTAACGTGCCGAGGAATGGAATAGATGCCCTTTCGGGGCTCTAGCACATTCCTTTTTAAATTGCATTAGTGGGCCGATACCATTTTTAGAATAAAGGGCAGTTGACAAAGGGCGATTAATATTAGGCACCATGGCACCCGAGGCTCAAAAGAAAAACCAAAACGACGGGTTTGGCCCATAAAACCTCAGGGAACTATAGTACTTGGACGAGTTTCATGGTTGGAAGGGGCTACTAAAATCTGGCCAATTTACAGAAAATAGGGCTCAATTGCTTCTATGGAACAGAGTCAGTGCAGTGAAGAGCTTCCCAGTTTCGTAAGGCGATGTTAATCGGAATTCTATGAAATTAGAAATCTCACAGGTCTCGAATCGGACAAAAGAAGAACAAGTTTGATGGGAGAAGCGCCGATTGATGCGAACGACGACGATTTGATGGGAATGTTACGTCAACGCCCAACACAAGGCCATTCCTGCCGTACAATCGCAACACCCGTGGCGAGCTCTCAAACAGAACGTAGCGAAATTTGTCGTCAAATCAACCCCACCGATGGTGGTGGTCTTGAACTCAGCGAGGTGAGAATGATGCCACAGACAGCTCGGCTGTCAGCCAGCCAGCTAGCCCATCGCTGCCTCTATCGTAATTCCCATCTGATGAATAATGCACCAGCTGAGAGAGAATGACGGGGAAGCCCATGAATGTTCCACAGGGTACACAAAGTCGGTCAAGCGAAACTCTAGAAAATACGT